CATTGTCATGCCTTTCTATCTTCAATCCTTATTAAATCTTTCGCTTTGGAAAAGGGACTTTAATTCCGGACGTATCTTTATCTCTCTCTTTCTCTCTCGTATTTTCTCTCTCTCTCATTCTTTCTCTCTCTCTTTCTCTTACGTATTTTCTCTCTATTATAATGTCGTTAATTTGAAGAAGTTACTTTTAGGAGTTGGCCGACTATCATCTATGAACGTATACACGGAAGGTGCTTCTTTCTCGGAAAACCGTTTAAAAATATTTTACCTTCGTTAGGACAAAGGGACGTAGGACCTTTTTACAGATGTAGAATTCTATTAAGGAACTTGCTTTTGCTTGCTTCTACTCTACTATACGTGCCGGCGTTGCCTGTAGGAAATACTCTTCTTCCGCGTAATTTTACGTCGCTTAAATAAATTGGAAACGTGAGTGAGAAGTAAGATAGTGAATAGATGAGCGGGGCCAGGGGGAAAGAGAAAAAAAAAGGAAAATAAAAAGAGAATGGGTAAGAAGTAAAATAAAGAAGGACGGATGAAAATGGTTTTCTCATATTTTTTATGATTTTTTTTTTCTTCTTTTTTTTTTGCAGCAACCGGTGGCTTCTCTTACATATTTAAAAAGTCACCGGTTTATCCGGTATTATTATTATTATCTTAGTCTTTCCTCTCTCTCTCTCTCTCTCATATTTTTTTTTTTTCACCTAACTTAACGAGTCTAAGTCTAACGTAACGAGTACTACGACGTGGTTTTCACGAATGAGTCGAACTGTCTCGGAGAAACTTGTTAGCACGTGATGATCATAAACTTAGTATGCACGTAATAAAATGTCAGTTCGGCTTTCGAGAAAGCACTCAGCTTTTACTCACTTCCTTCTTTGGATAGTGTGTATATACGTATAGTTATATCCCTCCCAACTGTACACATACGATATATATATATATATATAGAAAGAGAGAGAGAGATGCCGTACAAGGAAAGGGATGTCTGCTGGCGTGCACGTGTAAACGTTTGGAAATTCCAGAACTGTCCTTGTTTCCACGTTCGTCGACTAGATTGCAATTACTGCTAATTAATTGAGCAAAGGGTTGAGTCTGAGGAGTCTAGGGACAAAGCAAGACGACGAGGCTGCTGAATCAACGTTGAAATTGTAAAGGAGAATAAGAGTATCACTTCACTCTACTTCGATATATATATATATATATATATATATAATATAATACTTCCTATACGAATGTTCTTCTAGTCATGCAAATGATAATTATTCGTTAGTTAGTTAGTTAATTGCGTTAACTAATTCGTTCTATCTTTTTTTCTTGTCCACCCTTGAAATAAGAAAACGTTTTAAAAAGTCGAATAATAAATATTATCAAAAGCAAGTTATATTAGATTTAACCAAAAGTTTTGTACGTTTATTGCGTTGAAATTTTACTTTGAAATTGCATAATGGATTATTTTTGTAAAACAAATATACTTTGGAAAATGTTAATTGATAAACGTAGTAATTTGTCGATTCGCCTTAATATTTATTCATTGGAACAAATTGTTCGAACTTTTAGTCTCGAGATTCTTGTGTTAATCACAGGGTGTATATGTATTAAACGTATTAATCGAAGCCAATTAGTAATCCGAGCCTAAATCGTCGATCGTTCGAATAGCACACTAATCATAGCCCCCTAGATTATAATGACCACTCGTCAATTATCGTACAATTGCAAACTGACAAATTGAAAGCGCTCGAGCAATTACCAACCAACCCAACCCAACCAAGTCAAGTTTTAGAAAGTGTGATGCAACGCTCTCTCGAGCGTGAAGTTACCTATCGATGTTCGGTGTGTGATGCTGGTGCCTGCTATCATCGGCGTTGATTGGATTACTTGATCGAGCGCGTTATTAGCTGCTTTTAAAGAGTTCCCCAACGACGAAGATTTAATGACCTTATCTTCGCTTTCGTGCTCTCTTGGAAAACAACGAAAACAACATACAAAAAATTCCCAATGTTAAACAACGATCGTCGCTAGTCATTCTACTCCACATCATAAAATTTACGTTTAAGTTTCCAAAAAGTAAACGATTTTTCATCGATTGTTTATTTCATGAAGGATTATATCCCTACTTATCATAATCCTAATCGTTATGGAGTATCGTTCAATGGTATATTATAGATTGAATACCCCTGTTCCCTTTTTCTTTTCTTTTCTTTTTTGATACTTCTATGATAAATACTTTGGAGCCCTTTTTCCGCGTCCTAATTTAAAGAGACGTAAAAGAAAAAAAAAAAAGATCGAAGAGCCAGAAGAAGCTGATAAGTCAACAATGGAGTAAAACGGACTCGTGTACTTTCTAACTTTTACTTAAAACATTGAAGTATCAACGGCAGAGCGAGTTCAACTGCATCCCCCTAACCCCCATCATCATCACAGAGACAATGGCAAGGTGTGTTCCATCTTAAAACTATCAGTTGACTTGCAAAAAAGTTATTTGCCCTTGAGTAAAGGAATGGCTGCCTGCCTCTGCGTTCAAGGGTTTAGCAGGATGAAGAAGAAGAAAAGAGAAGAAGGGGTGAGGAGGAAGGGGTGGGGGAGGGGTGGATTCGAAGAGCCCGGCAAATATTTGCTGTGAGATTGAGGCGAGAACGGGGTTCGAGAATAGCGTTTTGCAAATAAACCCGAATTTATATATGTATATATATAACAAATATTATTTATACTACAGAGATATGCGTGTGCGTGTGATGCACGTGTGTTACTGGTTGTACGTTGTACATGTGCACGTTGAAAATAAACGCAAAAGGGTCAAAAGGGAAGAGAGGATAACAGATATGACGGATCTCTACGTTCAATATCGACACCAAGCCAACCAACCCCACCCTTTTGGCTTCTTTCGTGTTCTCGAAACCACTGACGTCCTTTCTTCAAGTATGGATACCCGAGTGCTACGAATATTGGCCTGGTGGATGCACTTGAAAACACCAAGAGAAGAAAGAAGAAGATTCGTCAAAGAGAGAAGATTTTCCCTATCGAAAACTTTTGGTGTTATTTGTTTTCCACCTATTTCTCTTCTCGGTTCTGAATATTTATTAAACATTCTCTTGTTTAAACTGTTTCGGTTATTTATTACACGTCAAAAAGGGGATCTCCATAAAAATTACAAATTAAATGAAAAGAAAATTGTGATATAATATTACACCGAAATCCCTTGGATTTATAATTCTGGTATCAACAATTTTTTCTCTTATAATAATAAACATTTAACTTTTAATTTATTAAAACTAATATCGTGTGTTGGACAGATAATTTACGTCTTATTAATCTAACGAAATATATAAAAAATTATTAGTGCATATGAGTTTATTATTAAAGGTATCGAATATATCAACAAAAATATTTATCATTCCTTTGTCATCCCTTTGTGGTATTCTTACGATTCACCCCTATCAAAGTTTTCTTATATTATAACACATCCAAAAGAAAAAAAATGTTTCCTTTTCTTCGTAATTGCGAAGAAAGATTCTTTCTTTCTTAAAAGACGATCTATTATCTTTCGATCGTCGTGTTCAACTGTGAAACATCCTGAATATAGAGTTGCTTTCGTTAAACCAAAAAAACAAAAAGGGGGAAAAGGATATCAAATGATGCTTAGAATCTTTCGCGCATTATTAACTCAATCCTCGGAGGAGGACGTTATTCTTACTTTAAAAAAAAAAGAAAACTATGGAAAAAAAAAACTCTTGAGATTATGAATCCATTTGAATAGGTTGAGCCTTTTGTTAAAGAGGCTACCACAGATATTATATATACAACTATCTTCCCTTACATTCAGTATACTCCTTAACGAGTCCCAACTTCTTTCTCCCCTTTTTCCTCTCTCTCACTCTCTCTCTCTCTCTCTCTCTCTCTCTCTTTCTCTCTCTCTCTACAATTAGCAGCTTTCCAAAGGGTAGTACCCACTTCTGACAACACAGCAGCAGAGCGTACAGCAGAGGGAGGGATTCTCGTTAAACTGGGTCGTGCTTGCCACCCAGAGTTAATTGATAAACAGCCTTAGGCTGAAAATATCTCACCCGGAGATGATACCCTGTAAAATAATTACTCGAGAAAAATAAATATATGTATTATAAATACATATATATATAGACGTAAGTTATAACACCCCTGCATGCAGGTACTCTTTTATTTCCTTTTTTGTTTTTCGTTATTAATTTCTCTCTCTCTCTGTCTCTCTCTTTTTCATCTTGTTGTACAAATATTCGAGGATCATATAACACTTTGTAATTTGTTATTCTCATTGAAAACGAAAATCTAAAAATAACAACAAATTCTCGGAATAGTTGATATCAAATATATATATATATAATACAAATAAAATTTGGGTTTAATTTTACAATAGCGATTTTTATTTTAAATTACGAACAGAATTTTCGTTTTACGTTTATGCAACAAATTTTTACACATTCCCACTCTGTGTATTACGAGTGTGTTGGAAATGGTTGAAGGTAAAAGAGAAAAAAGAAAAAATTGTTTGTCCGTATCTGAGAAAGGTTGGAGAGAAAGAATCTTTTTGAAACGACCACGAAGAAAGGACGAAACAGTCTGTCTGTATTCGTTGTACTTGTTTTACGATCCTAACCCGTACACATAAAGTAGAAAGTACTTTAAAAAGGATGGATTTGAGTTTTGCAGTTGCGTTTGTCGTACTTTACAATTTTGCATTAACATCCGACTACTAGCGAAGGGGGTGGGGAAGGGGAGGGAGGTTCCCACGTCAAATGAAAAAGAAAAAAATACTTCAAGTTTACAGATCCTTTGAGAAAAGTTTAGACAAATTTAATTTGTTTTTAAACAAAACAAAACAAAATATATATATATATATAATATAGTATATTCAGTCGGTTATCTTATTTTCTAAAGAGTTTTACATAATCTGTTTTTATCTCGGTTATGAAAATGTAAACGAAATAGCTATTATAAACTAATATATATAAGTATTATGTGTGTTGCAGGACTATTGTTAGGTGGTGGGCTGATAGTACTAGCATCAGCTCTATCTGACGCGTCGTTGGAATTACCTAGAAAGTATAGTCTGCCTTCAACGACAAATATGCAAACAGACGATAACGGTTTACCTCAGTATCACTACGGTTGGTGTCTCCAACTCTCAGGATTAGCACTCATCCTGGCCAAAGTAGCTGCTCTTTTAACTATGTCCGGATATATGGCACGATTTCCAACAGTCGAAGACATGGTAAATATTTGAAATTCAACTAAACTCGATATTATAAACTCTTTATCATTATTAAAAAATATATATACATACATTTTATCTTATATAGAAAGTTTTATAACGAATAAAAGGTTAAAGATATTCTTTACTTTGGAACATTAAAAAGTTGAAAAGTGAAAGAAAGTAGATACTCGTAATGCTACGCTGAAAGTTAAACATATAATCATGAAATATTATCTTTGTTGGATTTTTCTTCATAATATGCTCTATATTTTTCTTTCGTTTTTAGGTAAGAGTTATGGTACCAGGAGCGGAAAGAAAACTGAGAGAGCGAAGAGGTGTAAGCTCGGAGTACCTCATCAGAGCACATCAAAAGTCACCAGGTCCACCTCAGGCTCGTGGATTTAACCAACCAACGAAAAGTGTACTTGGTACTACGCATAATATATATATATTTAAGTATCTTATTAAGTTTTGAATGAAAATAAAGTCTAAATAGAAACGCAATTAATGTTTTAGCTCCCCAGAGAGTAGCAGAAGAAGGAACTTCTCTACTGTGTAAGTCAGCACCTGATATTTGTGCTTCCAACCCACAAGCAATCAGCTATGTGGATAAAGCAGATCTCTCCCACGTTCTTCCAGCTTATCCAGATCCAAAGAATACCGATCCTCGATACACTTTCGTCGATAAACCAGATGCCAATGTTATCGACTCACAATTAAGTGGCTTCGTCGATAAGGAAGGTCTCATTGATTCTAGAATTTTATCCGATTCTAGACAAAATATGATCGCATTTAGCGAAAATAAGGAACAAACTCTCAATCAAGAGCCACGTTATACGGAATACGCTGCAAGAGCTACCGAGACAAACGTAATTGATTCCAGATTAAGTGGTTTTGTTGAAAAAGAAGGTTTGCTTGATTCAAGGCTAGCAGGATATGCCGAGAGGAACGAATCTTTATTGGATACACCTCTTGGTTACGATTCACGTTACAATAGTTTAGCTGGACAAACTGTACCTATCACGTTGAAACATCACAATACATCTGTATCAGCGATCCAATCTCAATATATTTATCAAAATTTTGGTACGATACATTCTGGTATTTTAAGGGTATCCGAACCTGGTACAAGTTCGAGCTCTAATTCAAGTCAAAGAAGTATGACCTTGCAGAATCCAAAACGAAAATCGCAAATTGCTCAAAATACTTTTAGTACGATGGAATGTGAGAAAAGAAAACAACGGGGTCCTGGTTTAGTAGGAAAGGCTGGATTTTATGCTGGTAGTGCCGTATGACCACCACCACCTCCTCCGACGCCAAGGTAACTCCACGAGGAAGAAACGCCACTTTAGTTCGAATCAAGAGAATTCTTTCAATGGCGTTTTAAATAATATTGGTCGGAGGAAGAGTGTTTTTAAACGAGAAATCAAAAAAAAGAAAAAAGAACAAACTAAGAAAATAAACGAACAATGGATGCAACATTATCATCGGTCGATAGTGCAGATCCCTTACTTTTTTGAACGTTTCCGATTCAAGCTGCTTGATAATTCAGATCACTGCCCTATTATGCGTGATAAATTATACCAACAGTCGGATTTACAAGTTCCTGTGATAATATCCCTGCCCAATGATACAAGAAAAAACATCAATATCTTATTACTACTAATGTGATAAAAGTTATGTTGTGGTCATGAAACAAATGCTGCCATGCTAATCGATGCCATAACTTGATTTATACCAAAATGATGAACTCGATGGTCACTCGAAACCGCAACGTCGGATCCAAAAAAATCTGTACATAGAATATTTATCCTAAAAATTAGATATATAATCGATGTGAGGAGTAAGAAATGAAAAATACATAGGTCTTCGATAAATTTATATTAAACGAAATGGATCATCGAAGTATTTGACATTCATGAAATCAATATTAATCTAACTACTAATGAAAGGATTATCAAAAAGTTACGATACGATGAAAGGAATAAAGGAAAGAAGGACGAAATGAAAACGATAGTAGTTTGCTTAACATAGATGTAGCGTAAGTGTAAATGATACACCATGTGAGGTGGCGAAATACATGTTCTGCTCATTGCTGGCAAAATTTCACGTACTATTTATATTATATAAAAACATTTCCTCTATTTCCCATTGAAAGAAATAGTTCGTGATTTTTTGCGTATCAAGAAAAAGCATTTAAATCAACTGACTACTCTCAATCAAAAAATAAAAAACCAAAAAATAATTAAATAAATAAATGAATTCCCCAATGTTATAATCGTTGCAATCATTGCTTAAATATGTTCTACGTTACCATTATCATGATTTATCATTTATAAATACTTGAGAATTTGAACTAACGTCTATGGTGTATTGAAAAAAAAAAAAAAAAAGAAAAGTCATGTCATCACCGTCGTGATTAATGCAAATAAGTAATCAGTAAAATTTGATCATAATCGAATGATAATTTTCACTCGTGTTTCGATAACATAGTCAACGGAACAAAAAGTAATAAAAGTAATTATAATCGAGAAAGTAAACATAAGTAATCGATAACATTGTAATATATTTGATGGTCGATACGAATTCCGTTAATTTACGTGTGTGGTGTGAACACGTATAATCGTATTTATTAAGAAGAACATCATGATGAATAATAAGAGCTCGTCTATGTTCTACGTGAAAGAAATTGCCACTGACACGTTTTCATTATTATTGTTAGAATACGTATGTACTTATTTACGTATATCACGTTCTTTAACTAATCATTACGGTAACTTAAATTAAATGAAAATTATCGATACTATATGATACGACAAGATTTTCAACTTAAAGAAAACCTAAATTATATGCTTCGTGAAAATGCAAATAACGTTTACACAAGTACATCAATACCGGCAATTAAAAAGCTCGTTATTTACATAGTATTTAAATTTATCGCGTGTCCGGTCCGTGGCAATATCTTTTATCGTATTTACCAATTTCTAACATATCAGGGCAAAGGAAAAAAAATATTTACGTTACCTGTACGATAATAAGCTGACTGCCGTCATTTACTTTCGTCTACTTTGTAATTTATTTTCTAGTTGTTTCTCCCTTCCCTTCCTCACTCTTTCCCTCCCTATTTTCTTATTTGCTTAGAAGATATTTCTCTCGCGAAAAGAGAGAAACAAATGTACGATTTCGAAAACCGATAATCGACGTACATTTGTTAAACAGCAATTTTTCTTTTTTTAAACAGCCATATACATTTATTGTATAATATGTCACTTTGCACTGCATATAATTATATTGTATAATGATCGTAGATGAATGTAATAAAATGTTTCTTTTGTAAAAAAAAAAAAAAAAAAAAAAAGAAAAAAATAAAAAAAAAAAACCCACGAAGACATTTCATTTCGTCGTCCTGTATCATAAATAACTAATTAATAAATTATGAGAGCAACATTTATTTCCCTATTACATTCCTTTTCGTTAACGAATAAATAACAAGAAAATAGAGAAAGATATTGAATATAATCAAAACACTTGTAATTCGTATAAAGATATAAAAGTATACAAAACTCATGGATCTAAAATAACTTTTGCAATATGATTTTAGAAATGTATTAATTTAAAAATAAAAAATGCAGAAATTATTGTCATTATTTCATTTTTAATCGAATAATTGTTAACTCATGATAATCTCGAGGAAGTAGATAACGTAGGGAAATAGGGATGGAAGTAAATTTTAGAAAGCATTCGATAGATGGCTCGTATCCACCATGTTTTGCATTATATCCGGCTGGTGGACCGGCCCACTCCTAATGTTTAATTAACACCGCATAATTGCTTGGCCAATTAGAGCACATCGTTTAATATTAATCTGCAATTTGAATTCATTTCAATGCGGTTAAAATTTATTGAATACATAATTAATGCCGCATGTTACGAATGCAGGATACCCACGAGCGTGAACCAAAGCTCAAGCCGGCTTAGCGTGCAAACTCAACCCACCAACCAACCAAATGATTTATTTATATTAGACGGACACTACTAGGTAGAAAGATGGTTCGCGTTGGTTTACATTGAAAACTTCCAAGAAAGAGACTTAATGGTCTATAAAAGAGACACGTATTACTATACCATAGTAGTACTGGCACGTTTTCGATATTCTTCGTCTATTCTTATTCTCATTCTTCTTCTTCTTCTTTCTAACATCGATAATAGTTGGCAAGAAAACCGAAAATGTATGTCCGTGTATCTTTCGCAAAGTTTACTTCTCAACTATAACTTCAAGAATACGTATTATGCGTGTATAGTATATATATATATATATACTTTTATAACGTTGAAACAGACAAATATACGCGGAAAGTTTAAATTTGATTTCTAACCTCACTTCTACGAACCGTATTTCCGTATTTTCTTAAAATAGTAAAACCTATTATGACTCTATACTTATTATAATATTCATATCTTACAACGATGTTCTTCATCTAAGTTATCTTAACTATTACTACGAAAGATCTTGCAATGTTGCTTACAAATCTTCAACAATCTTTCAAATACATATACTATACATAATATATATTACATACATTGTATTAAAATATAATTAAAAAAAGAAAAAAGAAACAATATGATTTTAAAAATTTTAAATAATACACATAATAATTATCTTATTCGTTGTCGTTATAATATCGAAAATTGATCTAACGAAATTCTTGACGTTGAGATCGAAATGAAAAAAGAAAAAAAAAGAGAGAAAAGAAAGAAAGAAACAAACAAACAAACAAAGAAAAAAGAGAAATGAGATGAAACGTTATTTGTCTCTGTTATTTACTTGCGGCAATCATCCTATATTGTCGTACGTTTCTCTTTTTCCTTTGCTATCAACCCTCCTCTCGTTCGAATATCCAACGAACAACCCCTTTTCGGTAATCTCGCACCCTCGGCTCGTTTCTCCTTCCCCTTCCTCATCTTCTATCTCCCTCTGTTCATCCACCAACGAGTGGTATCGGTATTCTCCCTCTAATCCAATTAAAAACGGCGTAGGATCGCACGAAACAGAGCGGCGGCGCATCGACCACGAGAATTTTAATTGATGTTACAGGTACGAGAGGGTAGGTAGGCAGGTAGATGCCGCGGTACGCGTAGGAGGAGGAAGAGGATTGCAGATAGAAAGAGGAGACTAGGTAGAGGAAGTAAAAGGGTTGAAGAGAATCGAAAATAGGGATTGGGGGGGCTATGGGGGGTGGGCGGGGGTTGTGTTGTACTATAGCAGGGATGATAGTGTGCCACCAAGGCACGTTCTCGTTCACGAGCTCCGAACTTTTGCCAACCCTCTCGTTCGGATCCAAATACATGAATATCCTCATCCATCCCAAACCCCCTCCACACCCCACCCCTCGTGTCTGTTCAACGTGCTTACAAAAGTCACGTTAATCATCGACCGCCACTTCATCTTTACAAACACTTTTGACACGACGACGAAAACGAAGACGGGTTTGAAACTCGTAACGAAATCGAAATGGTTGATAAATGTTTTTATAATAATAAATCATAGTTATTATTACTTTATTCTTTTTTCTTATTTTGTTTTTTTTTTGTTTTTTTTTTCGTTTTCATAAATAATCAATATTTTGTAACACGCGTTTTTATTCGATTACATACAATATATTATTTTATTCCTGCTATTTGTCTTTTATTTAATTTCATTTGAAATTATTCACACGAGAAATGTCTGATTTTTATTTATAATATATTATCCAAATTTTATTCACCAACACGCGGATAAATTTACAAAATAATATTTCCGTCTAAATTTAAAATACTTGTTTTTTTTTCTTCGCGTTCGTTTAAGATTAACCTGATCAAATATATTTGTCGTCAATATTTTGCTGGACGTTAAAAAAGGAGCAAAAAAACAATCCTTTCTTTTTTTATCTAGCTAGATATTCTAAATAAATGTTTTCATGCTATCTTCCTTCGTCTTCTTTATTCCGTATTAACATTTTCAAGGAGAGTGAGAGAGAGAGAGTGTGAGAGAAATAGAGGGGGGAGGGAGGAGGGGCGTCGAGAGTCGAAGGATATCTTAATCCTTTTGGCCATCTATCATCGCAGAGAGAAAGAGAGAGAGAGAGAGAGAGAGAGAGAGAGAGAGAGAGAGAGTCTACCGGTTAGGCCGATTCTATCTTCTTCCGTTCGTTTCTCGTTCTTCTTTCTTTCTTCATTCCTTTATTCGTTTTCTTCCTTTTTCATTTTTCTTTTCTTTTTCTCACGCACCACCCTTCGCAGTAACTGTAGCCTTTTGTTACCTTGTTTAATAACTTATGATGAATGTACCCTCGCTCTACTTTGCTTCCACTTAGTTTTTCTTTTTCCATAACAACTCCGGTGTCTCAACAGGACCAACGTAGATCCACCCTTTTCCCTCGGGTCTTAAAACGTCCTTTTATACCTTTAGTGTCTTTATCATATTACAAATTAAAATAATACATTCCATGAAACTTCATTATATTGTTTATCCTACAACCTACAAACTGACAAACGGAACATTGAATATAAGAAAATAAAATACAAAACAAAATGTGTCGATGTTAATAATTAACGCGTGTTAAAAAAGACGTATATATTTGTTTGTATTTTTATTTAAAATAAATCAACTTTTCATTTAGGTCAGAGCGTGTTAATGGTACATTCCATCGAGGTTTCTAGTTATTTGAATCTAAAATTACTATATGAAATTCGCGTTTCCAATTATCATTAAAGTCGTGAGACAGATGATAGTCGTACGAGTTGGATGAGTAAACCGTGGGTTTTACCTTCAAACGTCGAGAGGTCACTATGCATGTTCACTCACCCCGTGAACGCAAATAGAACGAACGGAGGGGTGGAAGTGGTGCTGGTGATGGTGGTGGTGGTGGTGGTGGTGGTGGTGGTAGGTACTCTTATCTGGTCAAGAGAACGATGGAGGGAACGTATTAGTAGCCGGTATTAAATTATGGTCAGCCTGAGGCAACCTTTTGCCTGCCGCCAGTGATACCGATGTTGCAACGATAACAAACAACAACCTGGGCCTCTCTTCCACCAACCCTCCTCTCTCGCGGAATTAACCCTCGAGATTGCCGGTGCTTTCGAAGGATAATTTCATTTGGCAGCGAGTCCTGGCTCCCGATGTTGCTTCACTATGCTACGGGGTTCTGGCCTGCGTGCTATACTTTTCTATCTCTTTTTTTTTCTTTCTTTCTTTCTTTTCTTCTTTCTTTTTCTTCTTTTTCTTTTTTTTTTACTCTCTCCGAGACCATTTTTTCGTTTGTTCTACTTTTTTCTTTTTTTACCAATTCTTTCGTAGTCTACGTTACTTCCAACGGAACTATCACAATTACGTTGCTTTCTTTTTTTTTTTCAAATGACTTTTAAAGTTTGCTTTATATATTAGTTTTGTTAATTATCGTTAATTAATATATAATAATTGGCGTATCTTGAACCGAAGTTCATTCCAATTGGAAGATTTGTTTGTTTTTTTTTCTCTCTTTTGTACAAATAAATTGTAAACTTTTCATTTCGAATAAAAAAAATTGTAAAAATGTTAGATATCACGCGAGGCGGTAGTTATAATCGTTATAACCCTCCCCCCTCCACCTCACTTCCGCGGCTTTCTAGGCTAATTTCATTTCGGAGAATTTCTAAGAGGGGAAAAAGAATAGAAACGAGCACTGAAGTAAAATATGCTTGACCGCAGTTTGCTTCTATCTGCGAAACATTTTTCCCATTTTTCGGCCATTCGCTTCTTTTTAACGTAAAACCAGTGCTTTTTAGAGAATTGCGAGCCGCGGGCTAGGTTACCGCCCTTATCTATACGAATTTTTACCGTCTAGCATGGACCACGGTTTCGATGATTTGCTACCTTTGATTACCTTCCGATGTAATTCATCTAATATAAATATATCCATCTTTTTCTTTTTTTATGATTTTTTATTACATTTTGTGTAAAGAGAATGAAATACGTACGATCGTGATATGATTAGTTGGCAACGTTTTGAAGAATAATATGACATACACTACTTCTATATATATTCTTATGAAAAGATTTAATGTTTCTTTTTTCAAATTTTTGTTATAAATATTCATCCATCCACGAGATTCTACGAGGAGAAAATTTTTTTCTCGAAAAAAGAAGCGCAGAAAATTATTCCATCCAATTGAGAAAAGTTTGGAAAATGAAAAGGTGAAAAAAACAGACCTACGTCTGGAGGCATTTACGGTTACTTCCGAGGGTATGTGTGTGATAAACGCCTGAAATACCTAAAAGTTAGAAGAGGGTTTGCCACGGAGCCAAGGGGTCAGGATAAGGGCTACTTCTAGGGCAAACGAAAAAAAATAACCTTTTCGTTGTTAGTTGTCCTTTCGGACGACGGACGAATGAATGAATGAAGGTTCCGAAAACGTCTCCATTTGCCAGACAAAAAAGGTTCGACCTTTTCGTTTTTTTTTTCTTTTTCTCCGAGTCTATCTTCCATTCTTTATTCCAAGGGTGGTTAATTCGTAGTATTTCAAAAATCGTTTTCGATATGTTGATTTATTTCAAAAAATTTCTTATTAACATATTATTTCAAATATAATTTCGTCAGATATAATTGATAATTGTTATATCTTTTTATTTTAATTCTTTTTTCTCTAAAATAAAATGTCTTGAAATTATGTTTTAACCAGTTAACTGTGTCGATCATTTTGCAAAGTGCGCCCTAGTGTGTGTCGCGATAATCAAGCGATGACGGATATAGTCGTCAAACACAGAGTAAGTGGCATTGTTGAAATATTGGGTCAAAAAGACGACTTTATTTTAGAAAATGAATGAATTTATGAGTAATATTTAAACAAAGGATCAACGTAAAGCTATATTTACACATAATTAACGAAAAACTTAAAAAAAATCAAATATTTAACAAACAAACAAACAAACAAAATTTTTTTTTTTTTTTTCTTTGGTTAGACATCGCGGACATCATCGCAGATGGAGAATCTAATATCCTTTGTTTTTTTGGTTATGACACGTCAAAATAATAATCGGGATAATCAAAGATCTAGTGTCCAACTCAAATTATCTATAATTTTCATTTGTTTATTTCATTTCATCCTGACCCCTAAACATTCTAAACATATTAATATTTACGAATATAATTTAATTTTCGCCAGAATTACAATTTAAATATCAAATTGTATCAAAATTTTACGCATGACGGATATAGCCGTCAAAACACAAAATTCTGCCATTCCTCCATGACGGATATAGTCGTCAAACACACTTAACTGGTTAAAATATAATTTCGTCTGATATAATTGATAATTGTTATCTCTTTTTATTTTAATTCTTTTTTCTCTAAAATAAAATGTCTTAAAATTATGTTTTAAAATATATTTAGTGACAATTAAGTCATAGTGAAGATCGTCCTTG